AAAAAATAAAAGTAAGGAACACTACCAAATTCATTCTAGGAGACCCTGATACCAAAACCAAAGACACTACAAAAAAAGAAAGTTATAGGCCAATATTCCTGATGAACATAGATGCAAAAATCCTCAACAAAATATTAGCAAACCAAATTCAATAATACGTTAAAAGATCACAAACCACTATCAAAATGGCATTTATTCCAGGGATGCAGAGATAATTCAATATCCACAAACTAATCATCATACACATTAACAAAATGAAGGATAAAAATCATATGATCTTCTCAACAGATGCAGAAAAAACATTTGACAAAATTCAACATCCATGTATCGTAAAAATTCTCAACAAAGTAGGTACACAGGGAATGTAACTCAACATAATAATGGCCATATATGACAAACCCACAGTTAATACCATACTCAACTAGAGAAACAAGACAAAGATGTTCAGTCTTGCCACTTTTATTCAACATAGTGTTGGCAAGGACATGGAGAAAAGGGAACCCTCATGTACTACTGGTGAGAATGTAAACTGGTGTAGCCACTACGGAAAACACTATAGAGGTTCCTCAAAAAACTGAAAATAGAACTACCATACCATCTAGCGATTCCATTTCTAGGTATTTACCTGAAGAAAACAAAAACATGAATTCATAAAAGATTTTTGCACCACTATGTTCGCTGCAGCATTGTTTATAATAAATCAAGATATGGAAGCAACCTAAATGTCCATAGATAAATGAATAAATAAAGAAGATGGGGGTGTGGCTATGTGTGGAATATTATATACTGCATGTGGCATATTACTCAGACACAAAGAAGAATGAAATCTTGCCATTTGCAACAACATGGGTGGGCGCAGAGGGTATTATGCTAAGTGAAATATATCTGAGAAAAACAAATATCGTATAATTTCACTTACATGTGGAATCTAAAAAACAAAGTAAGTGAACAAAACAGAAACAGACTCATAAATGGAGAGAAAAAAATGGTGGTTGCCAGATGGGAAGGAGTGGGGTTACAGGCGAAATAGGTGAAGGGGATTAAGAGGTATAAACTTCCAGCTATAAAATAAGTAAGTCAAAAATATTTTAATAACTTTGTATGGTGACAGATGGTAACTAAAACATCGTGATTATCATTTCATAATGTATATGAATGTCAAATCACTACACAGTACACCTAAAACTAATATAATATTGTGTATCGCTACACTTCAATTAAAAAAAGGAACAGAACAAACCAATATGGTTTGGATTCCTACCAATTTTACTTTCACCCCGGGATTCTTTCATGTGTCATTTTTAAATGTAACATCTGCACAAATCTTAAAATCCTAAAATCCTTCATAGCAATAACTGTTAGTTCAATATTATTCACTGACAGGCATTTTAAAACTTAGAAATATTTGCTGAAAAACAAGCAGGTTTATGCAATAGGTTCACTTCATGTAAGAGGGTTTTAGATTGGTTAGAGAGGGTTTTTTTTTTCTGAAAGGCCAGTAATATAAACAAAAAAGCAAAAGCATTTGAGGAGGAAAAACCCCTTATTAAGGCACTGTGCATGTAGGATGTAAGGCCAAATCCCAAATTTAGTTATAAACATCATCTGTTATAAAAAGAATGTATTTACAGTCAAAGCACTTTCATCTCAAATATACAACCTAACCCTACACCTAAAGGAGATGGAGAAAGAACAGCAAATAAAGCCTAAACCCAGCAAGAGAAGAGAAATAATAAAGATCAGAGCAGAAATCAATGAAACAGAAACCAAAAGAATAGGAGAACAGATCAATGAAACTAGGAGATGGTTCTTTGAAAGAATTAATAAGATTGATAAACCCCTGGCCAGACTTATCAAAAAGAAAAAAGGACCCAAATAAATAAAACATGAATGATCACAACCAACACCAAAGAAATATAAACAATTATAAGAACATATTATGAGCAACTATATTCCAGCAAATTAGATAATCTGGAAGAAATGGATGCATTCCCAGAGACCTATAAACTACCAAAACTGAGCCAAGAAGAAACAGAAAACCTGAGCAGACCCATAACCACTAAGGAAATTGAAGCAGTAATCAAAAATCTCCCAACAAACAAGAGCCCAGGGCCAGATGGCTTTCCAGGGGAATTCTACCAAACATTTAAGGAAGAATTAATACCTATTCTTCTGAAGCTATTCCAAAAAATAGAAATGGAAGGAAAACTTCCAAACTCATTTTATGAGGCCACCATTACCTTGATCCCAAAACCAGACAAAGACCCCATCAAAAAGGAGATTTACAGACCAATATCCCTGATGAACATGGATGCAAAAATTCTCACCAAAATACTAGCCAATAGGATCCAACAATACACTAAAAGGATTATTCACCACAACCAAATGGGATTTATTCCTGGGCTGCAAGGCTGGTTCAACATCCACAAATCAATCAATGTGATACAATACGTTAATAAAAGAAAGAACAAGAACCATATAATCCTCCCAATAGACGCAGAAAAAGCATTTGACAAAGTACGACATCCTTTCTTGATTAAAACTCTTCACAGTGTAGGGATAGAGGGTACATACCTCAATATCATAAAAGCCATCTATGAAAAACCCACAGCGAATATCATACTCAAGGGGGAAAAACTGAGAGCTTTTCCCTAAGGTCAGGAACATGGCAGGGATGTCCACTATCACCACTGCTGTTCAACATAGTACTAGAAGTCCTAGCCTCAGCAATCAGACAACAAAAAGAAATAAAAGGCATCCGAATCAGCAAAGAAGAAGTCAAACTCTCATTTCTTGCAGATGATATGATACTTTATGTGGAAAACCCAAAAGACTCCACCCCAAAACTGCTAGAATTCATAAGGAATTCAGTAAAGTGGCAGGATATAAAGTCAATGCACAGAAATCAGTTGCATTTCTATACACCAACAAGACAGAAGAAAAGAGAAATTAAGGAGTCGATCCCATTTACAATTGGAATAAATTTAACCAAAGAGGCAAAGGATCTGTACTCAGAAAACTATAAAATACTCATGAAAGAAACTGAGGAAGACACAAAGAAATGGAAAACGTTCCATGCTCATGGACTGGAAGAACAAATATTGTGAAAATGTCTATGCTACCTAGAACAATCTAGACATTTAATGCAATCCCTATCAAAATACCATCAACTTTCTTCAAAGAAAAATTTGTATGGAACCAGAAAACACCCCGAATAGCCAGAGGAATGTTGAAAAAGAAAAGCAAAGCTGGTGGCATCACAATTTCAGACTTCAAGCTCCATTACAAAGCTGTAATCATCAAGACAGTAGGGTATTGGCACAAAAACAGACACATAGATCAATGGAACAGAAGAGAGAGCACAGAAATGGACCCTCAACTCTATGGTCAACTAATCTTCGACAAAGCAGAAAAGAATATCCAATGGAAAAAAGACAGTGTCTTCAACAAATGGTTTTGGGAAAATTGGACAGTCACATGCAGAAGCATGAAGCTGGACCATTTCCTTACACCACACACAAAAATAGACTCAAAATGGATGAAAGACCTAAATGTGAGACAGGAATCCATCAAAATCCTAAAGGAGAACACAAGCAGCAACCTCTCCGAACTCAGCCACAGCAACTTCTTCCTAGAAACATCGCCAAAGGCAAGGGAAGCAAGGGCAAAAATGAACTATTGGGACTTCATCAGGATAAAAAGCTTTTGCACAGCAAAGGAAACAGTCAACAAAACCAAAAGATAACTGACAGAATGAGAGAAGATATTTGCAAATGTCATATCAGATAAAGGGATAGTACCCAAAATCTATAAAGAACTTACCAAACTCAACACCCAAAGAACAAATAATTCATTCAAGAAATGGGCAGAAGACATGAACAGACATTTCTGCAAAGAAGACATCCAAATGGCCAACAGACACATGAAAAGGTGCTCAACATCATTTGGCATCAGGGAAATACAAATCAAAAACCTCAATGAGATACCACCTCACACCAGCCAGAATGGCTAAAATTAACAACTCAGGAAACAATAGATGTTGGCGAGGATGCGGAGAAAGGGGAACCCTCCTACACTGTTGGTGGGAATGCAAGCTGGTGCAGCCACTCTGGAAAACAGTATGGAGGTTCCTCAAAAAGTTGAAAATAGAGCTACTCTACGACCCAGCAAATGCACTACTGGGTATTTACTCCAAAGATACAAATGTAGTGATCCAAAGGGGCACATGCAACCCAATGTTTATAGCAGCAATGTCCACAATAGCCAAACTATGGAAAGAGCCTAGATGTCCACTGACAGATGAATGGATAAAGAAGATGTGGTGTATATATATACAATGGAATATTATGCAGCCATCAAAAGGAACGAAATCTTGCCATTTGCAACGACGTGGATAGAACTAGAGGGTATTATGCTAATAAGCAAAGTAAGTCAATCAGAGAAAGACAAGTTTCATATGATCTCACTGATATGAGGAATTTGAGAACCAAGACAGAGGATCATAGGGGAAGGGAGGGAAAAATGAAACAAGACAAAACCAGAGAGGGTGACAAACCATAATAGACTCTTATTAATCTCAGGAAACAAACTGAGGGTTGCTGGAGTGGAGGGGGGTGGGAGGGATGGGGTGGCTGGGTGATGGACATTGGGGAGGGAAAGTACTACGGTGAGTGCTGTGAACTGTGTAAGACTGATGAATCACAGACCGGTACCCCTGAAATAAATAATATATTATATGTTAATAATAAACAAAAGAACCCCCAAAAAACAGAACAAAAAAATAAAATAGAGATTTCATTTAAAAATAAAGCACTTTCACATGAACACTGATAGCTGACAGAAGCCAAATGCTTTAAATAAAACTAGGTATTAAAAAAATTTGAAAGAAGTATCTTTGAAGTTTCGTATGCTCAACCCACCATGTAATGACAATACTGCATTCAGAGCTACAATCAAGATACTTAAACTATTCAACCTCGGATAATGAGACTAAAACTTACTCTCTAAATCTTTTGCTGTGGATTTTGGTTATTGTTGAAGATGCCATCGGACTGCCTATCCCAGAACTAGCCGGAGAGCCTTGTGACACAGGTGTCATACAGTATGGAGAGTTCTGACTTGCTGGAGAAAGTGAAGTATCACTGGGCATGCTCAGTCCAGCATCTGTAGAGATGTGGGGTGAGGGAAAAAAATTTACAAACTTCAAATGCTGAAAGACTATATATTGATCAACACTACTTAGAATGGCAGTTGTCTTTTGTATAACTTTCAAATTCTCCAGAAGCTAACAAGTTGGGCATTGTTTATATCACAACATCTCTCACATTCTATAAAAATGAAGTCTTCCTATTATCTCTTAAAACATACTCTTAAAAAACTTACAGACTGTGCTTAAAAAGCAGTCTATAAGTCTCTACACAAGGGACGATATAAAACACGTATTCTAGAGGATTTAAATTGAAGAACAAAGGTAGTAACTTCTGAACCTCTTTCCAGATCATATCATCCATCTCCTTTATCTCTCTTTTTTCACTTCTAACTGTCTAAAAATTCCCATTGCTGCTGGCAATGATGAATTCTACCTCACTCATTCTCTCCACACCCCTCCTGATTTCTTCAGACACCACCCCAGTTTCTCTCTTATTTGGTCTTTGCTTCTGTGCTCAGGCAGCCTCATTTTTTAGAAACCATCTCTTGACCGGATTACTTCCTTCATTTGCTGCTTCTTTCCTAAATGGCTAAACTCAGGAAATGAGTTATTATTTGTATTCCAGTCCACTAATTAGCAAAGTTACACATGTATCTTCTTGTCTCCCTACCGGGATAAGCTTTTTGTAGCAGGACCAATCCACTCTTTATCTTTATTACATTTATTACATTTCCTGACCTTCCCACCCCCAACCCAGTTACATTTCCTGACTTTCCCACCCCCAAACCAGTTACTAAAGTACACATGATAGGTGTTCAATAAACACCTAAATGAATACTGAAATTTATCCATTTTTGAATGAATGGATAAACCTAAATACAAAGGAAAGGATATTTAATTGAGAGTAAAGGGGAATCCCAACTAAGTATGTCCTAACTGAACAATCTTTAGAAACAAACTCTTTTCTAAACACAATGGAACAGTGCCAGTTAATATGTGTAAAACAGACTTAAATGTGTTGCAGAACGGAATACACATATGTCAGCAGAAAAAGGGACCTAGCAGGTATCTCTTAAAATCTCTCTTCCACAGTAGTAAAAATATCAGAAGGAATGTGCAGGTTTGCTTGAGGTCCTACCTAAAATTGTATGGGACTGAAGCTTATTGACCAAATGAATTCTGCACTACAAGAGGCTTTGTAATTCTCTATTCACTCACTGTGGTATATGTATTAATTCATGAAAGCAAGAAAGAAAATCAACAAAAGCAATCCATTGAAAAATAGTCCTGTGAAGAAAATAGCCAGTAGTATTCTAAATACAAAAGAAGACAAAATGAAAAGAACTATGAGTTATAGAGGATGCATGATGAGACCATAATTATTAGTATTTACAACAAATCCAGGCCTTAAGCCTCAAAAATGTCACAAACCTGCTATATAACACCTGCTCCTTCTCCCTTTTAAATATCTCCCTACAAAAGCATCTTCAAAAGAAACCACTCTCAAAAATAAAGAAATGTAGATAAAATATGGAGCATATCCTGCAATTAGGATAATAACTAGTGATGGCTTATCAATTAAAATACTCTGGACCATTCCATGATAAGGGAGAAAGGGGTGATCTTACCTTCTTGGGAAACAGTCTCCTGTGGCAAATCATCAATAAAATCTAAGTGCATTTCTACTGGTTCCTCAGATCCCAAAAGGTTGTGGTCCACAGTTAAACGGCCCTTCTTTTCCTCTCTTTCTTTCAAAATAACCTAAAAGTCATTACCGGTCTTTAATTACTGATCACTCTTTGATGTACTGAATGATGAAAACGTTCACTATTACACAGATATAGTTCACTTACAAATGGACATGAGGAGTTTGGTTGGCTGCATGTTTAGCTGGCTACAATGAAACTGACTGGCAAAAAAGTAAATGTAATTTTAGATACTGTAGTTGAAAGAAGTACTATATCCAAAATAAAGGAAGGCAAATATGCTAATAATGCTACAGATATCAAACCACATGTTTCCCTCTTTAAATCCTGATTGACAAACTACAGAGTTTCCACAAAAATGGATAAAATAAAAAGTGTGAAAACCAGGTCATACAGTTACAATAGATTTACATTTTATAGTTTTTAATTATTTGGACATGGATTATCTCACTCTGCTCCTAACAATACTAAATTAAATAGAGCAGATATTATCCCGACTTACAGATGAAGAAGATAAGGGTAAGAAAGGTTTGCCTAAAACTATATAATTTAGTACCAGAATCCAGGGCTTCTGATTCCTACGGTCCAATTTTTTGGATGCTAAATGTTTAACTTTTTTTTTTTTTTTTTTTTTTAACCTTACAGAAATTCATCGTCCAGGGCCTTGTTCAATACGGAAAGAGAATCGTGATGCTGATGATATCCCCAATCTCCAATTAACTAGTCATCATAAAGATATACGCCTATGACTATCTCATAATAATCTGTTGGCTCAAACACAACTACTTTTGCAAAACAGATTTAAATCCTTATTTACCTTGTAAGATAAACATCCCCAGATGTTGGTTTACCTTTTTAAGTGCTGTGGGCCGTTTTAGTTTTGCAATTTCCTTCTCTTTTCCTTTCTTTGCTTTAGAGGAAGTAATGTCCAAAGAACTAAAGGATGTCAAACAGGGCTGACTTCTGGTTAAAGGTTTTCTGTTAGTAGAGTCTTTAGTGTGAAAAGAAGCTGCAGTAACCACTAAAAACAAACAAGAATATTAGTTTTACTATTATTACCAACACCACATATTATGAAAATTTCCAATGATAAACCTACAAGAACATCCTCTTCTTGTGGGGAAAAACAGACATCATAATAGTAGGAGTAGTACAGGGCCATGCAGTGTTTATCAGATACAGCTTTTATGCATCCATTTAGCCTCCATAAGATAAAGATGACAAAGCCAAATGCAATTAACTAATTTAGCAATCCAAAGCAGGGACAAATAAATTATTAGTTCTACTCCACCACAGCAACCCTCAAGCATGCAATTCCTTGCAACTGGTCTCCAAGCAGAACCACTCAACCTCTGAAATTTCAAAATTTTGCACCTGTCCTTAATTCCTACTGAATCTTACATAAGAATCACCCTTATATAAAACACATAGTCTGTCACTCCTCCCCTCATTCCAGCCTGCCAGTGAAGAATGATTTTCCTCTTTGGCTGCACTCTTAGTAGTTCTTTTATACCTGATTGATACCCTCACCCTCTAGTGGCTACCCCAATCCTTTAACAGGTCCAAAGACTAATCTCAATTCTCTCACTCTAGCAGCAAAAAAGCTTTCCTGCTACTTCCCTGAGAGCTGCTATCCAATATAAACATATAAGCCACCTGAGAGGAGGCAGTAGGCATCCTAATTCCTGTCCAAGGCTTATCACCCCCTCTCCTCTTAATCCCATCTCCGGATTAATTCCTCAAGCATCTTGCTCTGTCCCTTTCCCCTTGCACCTTTCAAGGTCCTCCTTGACCCCTGATTCTTTTCCCTAACTCCCAATAAGAAGCTAAAAATCTCCTGTATATAGAAGAAAGAAAAACAAAAAACCCAAAAAACAGACAACCCAACAAAACCCTTTCCCTGACTGGCTTCCCCTCAAGCTAAGGTACTATCACTCCCCTTTCCTTCTCAATAGTCTGCTTTATCGGTTATTTATACTGATGTGGATGCTATCTAGCTGTATCCAAGCAACGAGGTAAGCCTAGGATCCTCCTACCCCGCCATCTTCCCCAGAGGTCCTGAAATAATCTGTTTTCTCATTATCACGTCCCAGATCATTACAATCTGGCCTCTGCCCTACCCACGCACTCACAACCACTATTGTCAAGATCACACATGAACTTGTAATCGCTAAATCTAATTCTCTACTCTAGTTTTTTTCAGCATTTGATAAGAAAGACCACATCCTCTTCCTCAAAATTCTGTCCTTACCTTGTATGACATTACACTCTCCTATTTTTCTTACTCTTTCTCAAACCTATTTTTTTAGTTCTTCCTCTTGCTGTCCTTTAAGTCTGAACATTCAACAAGGCTTTATCCCTGAATATATTTTTCCTAACTGTTCTTTCCCCTGACAACCTTATGTATTTCCACAGCTATACATCCAACTCTATTTAAAACTCACTGACTTCGGGGTGCCTGGGTGGCTCAGTCGGTTGAGCATCTGTCTTTGGCTCAGGTCATGATCCCAGGGTCCTGGGATCGAGCCCCACATCAGGCTCCTTGCTCAGTTGGGAGTCTGCTTCTCCCTCTCCCTCTGCCTCTCTCCCCTGCTCATGCACTCTCTCTCTGTCTCAAATGAATAAATTTAAAAAAAAAAAATCTTAAAAAACAAAACAAAACTCACTGACTTCTAACCTAAAATGTACATACATAACTACATGTTAAGTAGGAACCACCAGAATCTCCCTAACTAGCATTTCAAATACAACAGGGCTGGAGTCTGTTCTTCCCAACAAAACTCGTCTTCCATAATCGTTGTTTGATATCATCAAAATCACCACAATCCTCTAACTAGGAGAGTTTGGAGTCATGGAGTCACCTTTGACCTGTTTCCACATTCCATCAGTTAAATAAAAACAACCACCACCACCACCACCCCATCAATTCCTCACAATCCTTTCACATATCTACAATAGTCTCATTCTTTTCTTGGACTTCCCAAGAAATTCAATTTCTTTGTAATCAATGCTTTCCAACTTAAACACTGGTGGCAGTTTAGAGGTTCATCTCATTTCCATCTGATAAGAATCCTACTCTCCTTTCAAAGCCCAGTCCAAATGTTATCATACATGAAGGCATTCGTAACGTCTTCCCCATAATCTCCCTGTTGACATTAATCACTCTTTTCTTCTGCAAGTTCATAAAACTTTGGCTGGTATCTTTCCTAAGGCACAGGTCTTTATTAGTTATTTGTGTATGTCTTTCCCCTCGACTAGATTATAAGCCTTTGACCACAGGAATATCTTAATCTATAATTCCACACCATGCTTTCCATATAGATATCTATAATTGTATATATCAACATGTAGTCAATGAATCAAAGTTATAACAATGAAGCCATTTGAAGTATCACAGGTTAACAATCTCTTCTCCACAGTAATCAGTTAACATTTATTGAGTGACTATAATCTTCCAACCAGGTGACATGCATCATCTCACTGACTCCTCAAAATAACCCTGTAGCAGGTACTATCATTACCTCCATCTTAATGTCAGGAAATTGAAGCACAGCAAAGTTAAATAAGTTGCCAAGGAACTACATGGAAGAACAGGATTCAAACCAAGGCAGCTCAACTCCAAAGCTCCTGCTTGTCGCCATGAAGCCATACTGCCTCCAGAACACTCTAACTCTCAGTTCCACTGAGATGTAACTGCCACTCTAACCCAACTCAACAACATTCAACTCAAAAGCTTAGTATGCATTCAATATTATTTTTACTAATAGTAAAGCTAAGGTTTATACTGGACAAGTAACTAGCTATAGATTTAAACATTTTGCAGACAGAATTAAAGTTATACACTGCTAATTATCTTTTTGTCTAAAAACAACAGACCCTTTACATAGAAACAGAAGAAATAGAATATTCCAATTCTCCCTTTTAACACTGGGCTTTTTGTTGGTGCCCTTCCCTTTCCTTTATATTATTCCTCTCCGTCTACAACAAAGGCTATGGAAAGAAATGAGGGAGCACATAAGAGCTGCTGAACTCTAAATTTGACAAGGTTTACTAAAATATACATTAACATTTCAGTAGAAAGCCGAATCATTCATTTTCTCTCTCTCTCTCTCTCTCTCTCACACACACACACACGTGCACACACCTCTTGATCAAAACTCCTATGTTTCCTATTATCCAATTTTAAAGTTATAAAGCCAAATTACTTGTGATTCTTATTTCAACCTCTGAAAAAGAAAAACATTAGCTGCTTCACAGTGTACACCAACTGACATGTGAACAGAGACCTAAAGGACGTACGAGAACAAACCACACCAGTATATGAGGAAAGAGAGTTTCAGGGAAAAGACAGCAAGCACAAAGATACTGAGCTAGGAGCATGCTTGCTGTGTCTGTGGAACAGTGAGGGGGCTGACTGACTAGAGCAGTGTGTGTCAGAGAGAATGGTGATGGGGGCAAAAAGGTCATAGGATCAGCTAAGATCTGGCCTTAGGAATCTGGCTTTACTCCAAGTGAGATCAAGAGCTACTAGAGGGTTTGGAGCAGTGGAGTGATATAATCCTGTTTGTATTTTTAAAAGATACTCCTTTTAAGATAGCCTGCAGTAGGTAACAGTGGGCTACCACAGTGTAGTACAAGGATGCGAGCTACAAGGGTAACAGGAGAGGAGCTGGTGAGTAGACTCTGGATTTTCTAGATAGATGCAATTAAGATTAACAATATTCAAAAACTATTACCAAAACCAAACAGCGAATTGCTCAGATCGTAAGATCACCTGTATATGCCAGAGGTCTGGTATTAGTAATCTGCCGTGCTTTCATCGCTTGTTGTTGTTTTTCCAGAGCTGCTAACATATCCCCCAAATCTAGCTGCACAGGGGTTTTATTTTTTTTTCCAGCTGCCTTTGATAAAGCTTCCTGCAAGGTAAATGGAACGTTTATTTTTTGTGATAGTATTAAAGTGTAGCAATTTATGATGATTTTATTTGTCACTCCTTCTGTCCATCCCCCCCAAACCTATCAATTACATCTGTTCATAAAAATGAATAAATACCTGTAGTTTTTTTTGCTCCATACTTATTTCTGAATATTCTTGAGCTGTGGCAAGGGCCGCTGCTAAAGCTTTCTTCTTCTGACTTTTTGCACGTTTAGGAACTGAGGTGGTAATGGGAATTGGAGTCTGAACTATATTGATTGGTGAGTTTTCAGGTAAATCATCCAACTAGGATAACCAGACAAAAACATTTGTTAGTGATTCCATAAAGGTCTAACCATAAGGAAAGACAATCCAGAATGTGGGATGTTTTACAGTGTATCTGGACTGGAATCTTTGAGGATTCAATGTCATAAAGAACAGAGTGAGATGGTGGGATCCTTCCAGCCTGGGAAATAGAGACAAACAGCTTAATGCAACTGGTGACACTTGTCTGGATCTTGGCCTCAAAACAAAATAACTCCCAAGTAAAGTTTTGCAACAACAGGGGAAATGGACTGTATGCTATATGATATCCTTTAATTAATGGTGTTTTCTCGTCTGTAACAGAACTATGGATTTTATTTATTTATTTTTTTTAAAAGATTTTATTTATTTATTTGAGAGAGAGAATGAGATAGAGAGAGAGCATGAGAGGGGGGAGGGTCAGAGGGAGAAGCAGACTCCCTGCTGAGCAGGGAGCCCAATGCGGGACTCGATCCTGGGACTCCAGGATCATGACCTGAGCCGAAGGCAGTCACTTAACCAACTGAGCCACCCAGGCACCCAGAACTATGGATTTTATAGGAAAGTGTCTTTGCTCTGGTTATGTTGCAAATAAATATTAAGTACCAAATACATGGTTTTCTTCTCTACCATGGTGCCCCATATGTCTTTATGCTAACCTGTAATACTTCTTTTCAACATAGCCACAGTTCAAAGGATGTTCAAATATTTTGCTTATCTTTTTAAAAAGAGTCACTTACTACTTTTGAAGAAAGTTTCTGTTGAATAGTCTCATCTTTAGCATTTCCATTCTCATTTAGTTCTTGAAATCCATCTTCATCCTGAAATAATTTCACATTTTAAGTGAAAACAGTTCAAAGCAATAAACTCTTCAGAAAAATGTTTTATAATGCTTAAGAGTAATGAAAAATGGGGAAATAATTTTTAAAATTCTAATATTAAACTAAAGTCAGTCTTTTTTTTTTTTTTTTAAGATTTTATTTATTTATTTGACAGAGAGAGACACAGCGAGAGAGAGGGAACACAAGCAGGGGGAGTGGGAGAGGGAGAAGCAGGCTTCCCGCTGAGCAGGGAGCCCAATGCAGGGCTCGATCCCAGGATCCTGGAATCATGACCTGAGCCGAAGGCAGACGCTTAACGACTGAGCCACCCAGGCGCCCCAAACTAAAGTCAGTCTTAAAAAGGAAATCTCATTTCTCACATGCTACAACATAGTTAATTTCATTATTCAATAATGGTGGCATATCTATACATGTCCATTTTTTGGATTTGTGTCCATTTTAATTAATTAATTCTATTTTAAAAATGGATAGGTAATTGAAAAGAAATACAACAGGGTTTTTATCGTATTTCAGATAATCTGGAAAATATTTTCAACAGATGGTTTAATATGAATTTCATAAATATATTCTCTGTCCTGCAATACTACACATACCTGTAAATAAGGTTAAAAGTTTAAAAATTTAAAAGAAAATCCTATTCAATTTATTAACGAATATCCTCCTTTATAGTGAAAATTATATCTAATATCTTTAAGTATACGGATGGAACCAGTTATATGGTTAAGTGCAAATAATAAATCTACCACATGTTCTCAATAATTTAATAGAGATGCACTCTGAATTCCTTTAGGTCAATTACTAAACTTATCTAACATATTATTCATCTCTAGTCTCTGGCCTCAAGCACATTTTCCAGTTTAATTGCCATCTATTGACCCATTTTATAGAAACTATGCTCCAACAAAAAAGAATTATTCAAATGAGTTACCTGGGATGTTCACTATCTTGACACAACCAAATTCTACCCATTCTTTTTTTTTTTTTTTTTTTTTTTAAAGATTTTATTTATTTATTCATGACAGACAGAGAGAGAGAGAGAGGCAGAGGGAGAAGCAGGCTCCCAAGGAGCAGGGAGCCTGATGCGGGACTCGATCCCAGGACTCTGGGATCATGACCTGAGCTGAAGGCAGATGCTTAACCATCTGAGCCACCCAGGTGCCCTCTACCCATTCTTTAAAGTCTTTTCCAAAGATTGCCTTTACCCTACTCCAAACCCAAAGGGATTTGTCCCTCGTTCAACTCCAACCACACCGAAGCAAGTACTAGGTGTGTATGCATCTACATTACTATACCCCAACTTCCCTAAGGCTACTGTGTTTACTCACTTAATGTATCATTCACAGCACCTTATCTTACACATATAACAGGCCTCCAAAAAAAAAAAGAGCCAGTTAGATGAATAAATAAAAATATTCCAAGCAGTATAGAAACTTCCTGCCTATTAGAGAAAATAAAATATCTTTTTTCTTCTCCAAGATTCTCCTGGCTAGCAGCACAAATTACCGAGACTGAACCATTCAAACCTAAAAAACTTGACGAAGAGACTAAACAATAATAACAAAAATTAGGGAGAAAGTTTCATACTAGGAGAAACCCACATAAAATCAAGTTCTACCTCTCCATGTTACCTCAAAATGAATACTCATGACGGAAGTTATAAAAATAGACATTAATGAAGTTAATATTAGACTAACTATACATATCCAGGAGAAAAATGAATCAATACTTCTAAATAATTTATAATCTAATAGCAGAGTCACAGGTTAAGACATAAAAAGTACTTATCAGAATGTAAGAAAATGAATTTCTTAATGGGAACATTTACTCTAATAGTTTACAAATAGAATCTGAAAAAATACCTCAAAATATAAAGACTCAGAATTTGAGTCGCCTCTATGAGACTGACTGGCATTTAATTGCTTATTATCTTGTCTCTTTTGCAAATTCTGTCTTCTTTCTGAGGAAGTACTATGTCCTCGGCATCTGAATCCAACCTAAGTAAGCACCAAAAGAAAAAAATATATTATTTAAATGAACATTTTACTGACATATACTTACAGAAAAATACACAAAAGTATAAAACTCAATGAATTTTCATAAAGTGTGTAATTTATTATAAAAGGTTAAAGAACATTTGACAAGTAAGATCATTTTAAGGAAAATTAAAAATGTGATAATGCAAGTTACTTCCCTCCTTCCCCCACCTCATACATGAATGTTTAACCAGCTTTACTCGTAATAGCCAAAAACTGGAAACAACCCAGATGTCCTTGATTGGGAGAACAGTTAAACTTACTGCGGTACATCCCTACTACAGAACAACAGTCAGCCACCCAATGGAACAAACTACTGATGTATTCGATAATCTGGACAAATCCCCAGAGAACCATGAAAGTGAGAAAGCCAATCCTAAAAGGACTGTATGAGTTCATTTATAAAACATTCTTGAAATGACAAATTATATAAAGGGGGGAACAGATCAGTGGATTCTAGGGTTAACAAGAGGCTGGGCAGGAAAGGAAAGGAATGTGGCTATAAAAAGGAAACATGAGGGATCCCTGCAGTGATGGATCTGTTCTTATCTTGATTGTATCAATGTCAATATCTAGGTTGTGACACTGGGCTGCAGTTTTGCAAGATGTTATCACTGGGAGAAACTGCACCCTACCTTTTTATTAAACTATTATGTCTTCTAACATCTGTGGTTTTATTAAAAAAAAAAAAAAATTCCTAAGAAAGGTAAAAAATTAAAACTCTTATTTCCAAGAAAGTAGATTTAGAACAAAATTTTCATCCAATCTGTAAATTATTATCCCATTAACAAATCTGTAAAATGTTCGACTGTCATAAGGGCAAGATTCTTGAGACATTTCAAGATCCTCCTCTTAAATACCCAATGCAGCTAACATGAAACACCTCTCTTAACCAGGACACCCAGAAGATGTGAAAAGTATGATCTTCATTACCAGTTACCACCAAATTCTAACAGTAAACAGAACCTGAAGTAGATCTACAACAGAAGGTGCTGATACACAGGCTTTGGATGATGAAATCAAAATTATGCACACAAAGACATGGAACCACCTACCAATTCCCGTACTAACTAACTGATCTAAAATGACTTGCTGATAAGAAATAGGATTTTTTTTTTTTTTTAAGAAATAGAATTTTTATACTCTTTTGGGAGGTAGGCTGCATGGCAGAACAATAAGCCAGAGAAGATGGTCATACACCAAATGTAATTCTTCCTTAGAATATGCACTGTGACAACTGGGCTACTTCCTATAACTAGATAACTTTCCAGATACCCAACAGTTTCTTAATTTTAAATATTTACTTCATTTTAAAATAGGCTCAAAAACATGGATAGTGATATGGACAGAGGAATACACACATGATGAAACAAATCTCAGTGAAATGTTAGCTAGCATCTAACTGGTAGCTGTATGAATGCTCTCTGTAAAATTACTTCAACTTCACTATTTAGCAATTTTTGTAAAATATTTTAAAAACTGGCTCATGAAAAGAAGCTCATAGACTGGTAAACCAAATGCAATTTATAATGTCTAGGTAAATTTAAAAAAACCAACTTAATTCACATAAATTATTAATACTAAAATGAGTACAAGCCCCAAAACAGGGATGACCAAAAAGCAAGAGAATAATTCCTGAGCATACCTCTTCATTTCTGTGGACAGTCACTATGACAAAAAAGTAAATGCAAACCTGCTCTCCAAATTATATCTAAAAAAACCCCTGTTGTAAATCATTTACTATACATACATTAATGTTGCTACAAACACTAATACAATTAAAAAGAACAAATGGAACTTGATTTCTTATACTTGGGAGACATAAAGCTCCAGGATTAAATTAAAACCCCCAAACTAATGGTCCCAACAAAGTTCATGAGAACCAAATCTGCATGTATTTCAATTATCTCCTAAAAAGAGGACTCAAAAATAGGAAGACATACAGTTTATTACATAGAAAGATGCCACATCACAAAGGTAATCCATCCTCCCTAAACTGATAGATTAATTTAATGACTAATACAGAACAAAAGAGAAATTCCAAAAATAGATTTCAATATACCTGGGAATTTAATAGATGATGAAGATGGTTAATATCAAATCAGTGAAAAGATGGACTTTTCAATAAATGGTGCTGGAGATTTGGGTACCCACTTGGAAAATACGAAGTGGAACTGTATCTCACACCATGCAAAAGACAAACCCAAATGGAATAAAGATTAAATGTAAAAAAACAAGAACATAAACACCCTAGTGGAAAACTGGCAAATCCTTTGTAACTCTAGAGTAAGGACAGGGCTTTCCTATGATTTAAAACCCAGAAGCCACTTTAAAAAACAAAAACAAAAAACAATAAATTCAACTTATAAACTTCTTAATGCTATTTAAAACATGCACTGATATATGGCAATAATAATGAGCAAAGTCAAAAATCGGGCTCCCTGCTGAGCGGATAACCTGCTTCTCCCTCTCCCTCTGCCCCTCACCCCACTCATTCTCTCTCTCCCCATCTCTCTCTCAAATAAATACATAAAATCTTTAAAAAAAAAAAAAGGTAGTGGAAAATACAAGTGAATATTTATTTCATTTCTAAAATACTTTTTAAGCCTAAAAACAATCAGAAATTGCAAAGGGTAAATTTGACTTAACAGGAAAAAAAAAAGATTCTGCACATCACAAATCAAACACATACTTAAGAGTAAGTATAACAACACACCAAAAGTAGAAAACACATTGTTCAACATCTGGCTCCAGTTCTTTTGGAATGAAGAGAGATACAAAATAAACAAAACCTAATACACTACATGTATTTGCATAATTTTTGGTTGTTCTTTTACTATTCCTCACCAGTTTGGAGGCTCAACAGCTAGCTGTATTACTTCCTCTCCAGTGGACTACGGATACCAAAAGTCTAACAAGTTATGATTTCAACATAAAATTTCAGCACTTAAACATTTTGTAGATTTTGTTTATCTCATCTATATAAACAATTCTTGTTTTAGCTCTTTTGTTTCTAATCAAATAAAGCTAGACTGCCTCACATGCCTGCCACAAACAACAATGACTCATTTTTGCAATAACCATAGGGGAAAGGGCATTATTCTGCTTGTTCTCCTGACAGTCTAATTAATGTTAGGGTGCATCTAACATACTTCATTTCAGGGAAGCAAATGAGCAGGCGAGTATTTGGTCTATTTAATCCATTAGTAACTTACTCGTATTTCAGCTCATCCACAGATCTATTCATATGATACTTTTTTGGGGGGGTAAAATAAATTTATTATTTATTTATTATTTATTTGACAGGGAGAGACACAGCGAGAGAGGGAACACAAGCAGGGGGAGTGGGAGAGGGAGAAGCAGGTTCCCCACTGAGCAGGGAACCTGACGCGGGGCTCGATCCCAGGACCCTGGGATCATGACCTGAGCCGAAGGCAGCCGCTTAACAACTGAGCCACCCATGAGGCCCCATATGATACTTTTAATACCTTAACTAGATTTAAGGAATCCAGGAAGTCCATCTAAAAACTAAAAAGGAAAAATGCTCATCAACAAACGACTCCCTGATTTCACAGATGACCAACGCAGGAAGACAGTTACTGGGAATCCTTGGCAGTATGTTAACCTGCTCTGCTGTACGGCAGCTAGATATTGTTCCCCAAGACCAGGAAGCCGTGTAGTCTGGCTACGTTACAGCATGAGGCAGCAATCGCTATGGCCCTGCAACAAGCACAGAGTGCGTAGCTTGTGGTGTTTATGGTCTAGTAAAGACACACGAACAAGGCCGCAGTCCTAAAGTTCAAAGAATCAATATTTATGGCATTAAAATGCTTTTAAATTTTTTATATGGATAAGAAAAAGTCACAGCAGATGAAACAGGATTGGAGGATATTCTTTTTTAAAAGTATGAAATATCCAAATCTATTTCTTAAATACAATAAAGTAGAAAGTAGCACAACATACACATACCTATAATAGCACAATATACACATCACCTATAGTCAAGATTTTGCCATTTTTTTCATTAAATAATAATTTTACTGGCTAAGCCATTTTAAGGTTACAGATATCATGATATTTTATGATGATATAATTCAATATGCATCTCTAAAAATTAAGGACACTGCCCTTCAAGACCACTATACCATTTACAGTAATTCAAGTTTCTCCAACCTAATTCAAATTACCTGTGAATTATTTCTTTGTTCAGTCTGCCTTCCACCTCTAGAAAACGTCTGATTTTTTTCCATCCAAGGTTTTTTCTGAGTTGCCTGGCAAGTTACATTGGACCAATTTACACTACCTGTAACCAGTGAGATTTAAAAATATGATTTATTTATGAAAGATGCCAAAACCTAAATTATCCCTTAACTTTGTGTATTGAAAGTCAGTCACTATACACGTAAAACTGGAAATTTCTCTACAGACTTTAAGTGGTATTCCAGTTCTTAGCAATAGAAGTGCCATCTTGCAGAATACTCCAATTTCTCATTTGAGAAATTTTCTAAGTTTTATCAGCCCAACTGTACTTTCAAAGTAATGTGAATCTCTTGCAAGATTTCTGATTTTTTTTGCAGTATCAGCAAGCTTCATGCTTAAAAGCAAAACTCGGACGTGGACAAAGAAAAAAGTATAGCAAAAACACTATGCAGAAAATAAGTACCTGTACATATAGATGATTCCACATGCTAAAAATAAAAACAAAAAAGACAATTATTTTCTGCTTAAGAGTCAACACCATATGCCTTGCAAATGTTTCATAACTTAGTCTAGTGTGAAGCATACTTCTTTACAATCCTAGAAAAATACTTCTCCATATATATTTTTCATATTAATATACAAAATACATTTTGATCCATTCTATTACTATAGGAATTGTTAATGAAAATAGATACTTGAGCTTTAGAGAAGATACAAAATAATACTGACACAGATGACCGATAAAGAAATCAAAGCAGCGTTACATACATTCATGGTGCTAGAATCGGGATTTCTCAAAGCCCCCGCTGCAGGCTGGTTGTTGCTGTGTTTGGGACTGCAGTAGCCACTATCACTGTCAATGTCGGCTTCACTAGCCCCCTGCTCACTAGAGGATTCAGCAGTAGGGTGGGACGCTCTTCTCCTCCTGCCTTTGGACTTCCAGAGCATTGTGGCAGAGCTCTCCGAGAGAGATTTGTTAGCAATATCTGATGGGAAATCTGTAAAGCAAGGAAGGTGTGACATCTCTTTGTGAGGACCAAACTGATAAATTCTTGTTAAATTATCATTAAGGTCGTAAGAAAATGAAGGTATCTAACTTCGTAAATGGAGAAAACAAGTAAAAATTTTTTGGAGAAGATTATCAAAAAGTAAGATGTTCCTGGCAAGTTGGTTTATGACATGTATTTAGTATGACAAGAGAATAAAATATTTGTATAAATATTAAAACAAACCACCATTACCCATTTAAGAAAAATAACATCACTAATCCTTTTGAAGTCCACTGCATACCCCGTCCACCACTGCATCCTCTTCCTCCCCCAGAAGTTACTTCCATATGGAATTCTGTGTTTATCATTTCCTCACTTTTTAAAATAGCTTTTTCATGGATTTTTGTATTCCTAAAACATAAATCATGTAATTTTGCAGTTTTTGCTTTATAAAAATGAATTTATACTGTCCATTTTCTTTTGTGACTTGCTTCCTAGTCTGCCCCATTCCTCCAACATTAGTTTTGAGATTCTGATGCATGTGGCTGTAATTCATTAATGTCACTGGAATCTAGAATGCCTGTGTATGATGAACATACCACACAGTATTTATCCTTTGTACCACTAATGGGATGCTTGGACTGTTTTGGGGTTTGCCTTATTAAATAATACTGCTGTAACCACTCTTACACAGACATTTGAACATATATGTGTGCATGTGGAAGTTTCTTTAAGATAAATACTGCTGGGCCTTATGGCATACACATATTCGACTTTACTCGGTAATGTCAAATCATTTTCAGTCAAACTGTTTAAAACAGTTTATAAACCAACAGCAAGATATAAATATCCACAGTGATCCACATATTCACCAAATACTTGATACTGTCTGCTAGGCTATAATTTTTGCCAATTGTTAGATATAAAAAGATAGCTCATTATGGGTTTTAATTTGTATTTTCTTGCCTAATAATGAGGTTTGGTATCTTTTCTGATGGTTTTAGCCACTAATGTTTTTCTACTGAGTTGTCTCTTATTTTTGTAGTTCACAAATTGTAATCAAAAGACATTAAAAAAAACTCTTATAATGTCCTCCTACCCTAACAAATAACAATTTTCCTTTTTCTGTATTTCCGCCCATAATTTTTACACAGCATTAATACAATTTTGAGTTGGGCTATTTTTTTTTTTAAGATTTTATTTATTTATTTGACAGAGAGAGACAGCGAGAGAGGGAACACAAGCAGGGGGAGCTGGAGAGGGAGAAGCAGGCTCCCCGCTGAGCAGGGAACCCGACGTGGGGCTCAATCCCAGGACCCCGGGATCATGACCTGAGCTGAAGGCAGACGTTTAATGACTGAGCCACCCAGGCACCCCGGGCTATTTAATATTATGTATATGTTCTCCATAATTATAATGTGAGAAGGCTCCATATTATTCCACTGAGTGGATGTTCTACACTTTTCTTGACTTGTCACCTGTTACTAAACATTAGGAAGCTTCAGTGTGATACTGCAATTCAGATCTTTCATCAAATAGTCCTTTTTCTTTCTAGGGAAATATATCCATTTTAGATACATTCACAGGGGAAGGACAACTGGGTCAAAGGAAAGATTCCTATAGTCCTGCCAAACTGTTTCAGCCCCCTGGTGTGTCCCAGAGCCTGAGAACAAGGTGGGATCATTTTTTTTATTCTTCATATGAATTTTTTATGTCTTCATATTAAAACTTTTTCAGTGATCGGCATAGTAAAAATCTTTTCCAAGTTTCTGGCTCATTCTTCCACTCACTTTTGATAGACAGAATTTACTTCAGAAATAGTTTCCTCCCTGCCGTCATAAAGATATCTGCCTATATTTTCTTCAACAAACGGGTTTTCCCATTTGTCCTTAATGCATGGGTTGTAAATTAGGGATCTGTAATGCTATCTGTGTTATTTTCCACATGTGTTTCCACATACATATGAATCTGTTTCTGGGTCCCCTGTTCTAATTTTCATATACTGCATTTTTTGTAAAAGCCTATTGGAAGTCAGATAGTTTAATAAGTCTTGATATTTAGAAAAAAAAGCTCTTTTCTTCTCAAATGGTCCTTTTAGAATTAGTTTATCAAGTTCCCATAAAATTCCTGTTAAAATTTTGATTAGAACTGCACTGAATCTATAGACTGACTTTGGGGAAAATGACATTTGCAGTATCAACTCATCCTATATGAACAGGATATTTAGGTTTTTTGTTTTTTTTTTTAATATCCTACCATAAAGTTAAGATTTTCTGCATAAATGTCTTGTACATCTTTTGTAAGGTTCATTCCCAGAAACTTGTATTTTTGTTGCTATTATAAATGGCATCTTTTCTCAAATTTTGTTCGTAACACACTGAAATGCACTTAATTTTTGTATATTATATCTAATCATCTTGTTAAACTCATTAAATACAAGCTTGTGTTCAAGAATAAAAATTTGTTACAAATTCCTTTAAGTTCTAATATTTCATCCTACCTGCGACTGATACCAATTAATCCTCAAAAATTAAAAACAAATTAAACAAAAATATTGATAGAATGTACAATCCTCCGAATCTGAAAACAAACTAAAGAATAAGAATACTGATAAAAGGTATTATCTTCTAATCAAATTTTACCTTCACTTTTCATTTTCTTTTTGCTTCTATTAAAGCATAGTTGACACACGTTACATTAGCTTCAAGTGTACGACACATTAATGCTACAAGAGTCTATACATTATGCTTTGCTTACAAGTGTAGCTACCCATCAGCTACCCCCCCAACCCTCTGACAACCATCAGTTTTTGTTCTCTGTGTTTATGGGTCTATTTCTGCAGGGTTTGGTTTTTTTTAGATTCCACATATAAATGAAATCATACATTTTTTGTCTTTCTCCATCTGACTTATTTCACTAAGCATTATAGCTTCTGGATCCATCCATGTTGTTGCCAATGGCAAGATTTTTATCCTTTTTTATGGTTGAGTAATATTCCATTGTATATACATACCATATCTTCCTTATCCATTCTCCATTCATTTACCTATGGACACTTGGACTGCTTCCTTATCTGGGCTATTGTAAATAATGCCACAATGAACATAGGAGTGAATATATCTTTTTGAATGAGTGTTTTCATTTTGGGGGAGGGGGGTAAAACACCCAGTAGTGGAATTATTGGATCATTTGGTATTTCTATTTTTAGTTTTTTGAGGAATGCCCATACTGTTTTCCATAGTGGCTGCATCAATTTACATTCCCACTGTCTGAGGGTTCTTTTTTCTCCTCCATCCTCACAACACTTGTTATTTCTTGTCTTTTTGATTCTAGCCACACTAACAGGTGTAAGGTGATTATTCTGTTGTGGTTTTGATTTGTATTTCCCTGATGATTAGTGATGTTGAGCATCTTTTCATGTGTCTGCTGGCCATTTGTAGGTCTTCTTTGGAAAAATGTCTATTCAGGTCCTCTGGCCAATTTAAATTGGATTATCTGGGTTTTTTGATATTGAGTAAATATTTTAGATATTAACCCCTATTGGATATATCATTTGTGAATATCTTCTCCCATTCAGTAGGCTGCCTTTTTGTTTTGCTAATGGATCATCTATTCATTTTCTAATTCTTATGCTTCAGAAGATTGTCTTTGTGGTCACTAAATGAGCAAACTAAAGAAGTAAGGATTTTTAAAAGCAGTCCCAGGGTTTAAAGCATGTAGAAGTCACTAGGACTAGGAATAACCAAAACAGAAAACTTTGTAATATATTACATTGTGATTCTTTCTATAGCCTCTCCAAGCATTTGTTAGTCCATTAATCTCACTGCTTTATGGCTACAAACTACACACAATGACTGTACTAGCAAGAAGATTGTTTTTTAACGGATTCCCAGATCCTTTCTTACTCCTAATGGATCTAAGCAATTGTAAAAAAATAACTGAACTGATGTCACAAAAGAAAAGGTACAGCCCAAATGAGAGTTTGCACCATCAAATTTATTTCAAGCCAGAGTGGAGACTACAGAAGGGTAAAAAGTAAATGTGCCTTTGTTTGAGCAGATGTAATTCTTGGCCTTCGATCATTAACAAAAATTTTTTTACTAGCACCAATGACAATGGGTGAGGAGACAGTTACTTACTCTATAGCTATTAAGCTGAGATCAGAGATACAAACTGGAATTTAATGATATAAACTGAAAAGTATTAATTTTTATCTATTACCAGGATAAAGTTTCCTTATTTAAAGTTTATACAGTCCTCTAAAAAATTCTGGACAAAATGATATCCAACTAGTCCAAAATTTTTCTTGCTTGACAGGATATAGGTGCCACTGACAGGTTTGGTTCAGATCTTTGCTAAAATATGGCACAGAAAACTTGCCAAGTTCTTTCTATAAAGATATTATACAATATTAGAGTATTTTATAAAGGGTTTTAAACTAGTTATAAAAAACATACAATTTTAATTTCTGCCAAAATGAGTCCTCAAATTCTTACAATGTCTGCAATATTCCATCTCTGATTTCTGAACTGCTCCACTACTATACGGGGATAAGGACACCTCAAACCCTCCTCAAAACTGCACATCAGCCAGCAAACAAGTTGGAAGAACATTATGGACATGGACTGCTTTTATCCTTCCTAGAGAACTTCACAAAGTGGCAGGATAAATGAAAGAATGAAAGTCTAGAATCCTGAAAAGTGGTATAGTCTACAATTATAAAGTCAATACATGAAAACAGATAAAAATCAGTGATGTATACATAAACACTCTTGCTTACCAGTTTGCTGTGAAGCATCTACCAGAAGCACAATTTTTGATCGATTATCAGGACCTGCTGCATTTGTCTCTTTCTGAGTAGCTACATTTTTCACCAGTGGCCTTTTGCTTTTTATGTGCTGTTGTAAAAGCTGTTGCTGATTTAAGCACAAATAATAATAATAATAATAATAATAATTTAAAATCCTACTCAATGTACTAAATACATATCAACTATAAAACACACCTGAATGTATGCTCTAAATTAGTGGCTTCCAACCCATGGGGAAAGAGGGCTACTGTGTTAGGAATTCATGACATTATCTGCATTTAATTATACGTTAAATGATGTATTATACACACACATTTTTATACTACTTTTCAAATAACTATTAACACTACTATGACTAATAAAATATTAATTCATTTTAAATTATTACTTGTACTTCATATTTTCTCAATCAATAATTAATAAATGACAGAAGTATAATCATGTCATATAAGGGGTTGTAAATTTTTATTTAGAAGGGTAACAAAAAGGGTAGTAGCTTATCCAAGGGATAAATTTTCCTTTCATGATAGCAAGAAAGTACAAAAACAATTCTGCTTTAGAGCTTGGAAAGAAAATATAAAAAAGCTGATCCTTTCCTTCATTTTTTAAAACAGAAGTATTCATCACTTAAATAGCGATTTATACAACAGAACTCTGAATTTAACTTCCTAAATTGAAGTGTTGGAAATGCACTCTGAGAAATCCTGTTTCTTCACCACCTGAAAGTTATATACTACTACCTTACTTCCAATACTTGTTTCTTTACGTTCTCCAGCGGTCCCAAAACAATTTCCCTTGACCCAGTGTTTTCATGAACAAATACTAATAGCTCTTTATTTTTTTTAATTTTTATTTTTTTTAAAGATTTTATTTATTTATTTATTTGAGAGAGAGAGAGAAACAGCACGAGAGGGGAGAGGGTCAGAGGGAGAAGCAGACTCCCTGCTGAGCCGGGAGCCCGATGTGGGACTCGATCCCAGGACTCCAGGACCATGACCTGAGCCGAAGGCAGTCGCTTAACCAACTGAGCCACCCAGGCGCCCACTAATAGCTTTTTAAAGCAAACTGTGGCTCCATAGCTCAGGGGTTAGAGCACTGGTCTTGTAAAGCAAACTGTGCTGCATGTTTGTATTTTAATTTGTAAAAAGTATGCCAAAAGACAGCAAAGACTTTTCACTGAAGAAGCTGGGTTAATGGAATCTAGGAAAGCATCAACTCCTCGATGATAGAGCCATAGATGCATTTAAGAAATCACTCTACCCTCCATTAGCTCAAAAGTGCTGAGAAGAAACATGGCTTTTCTTCTTACTTGCTTTGATATTAAGGCCTCAATATAAAAGTAACCTTTTAGTTAAGATACAGTTACGTAGAATAAACCTTAAATCTCTTGTGTTTTCAAGGCCTTCATGTCTCCTTTTTTTTTTTTTACTTAGTCAACAGACTGGTCTTAAGAGTGGTTTCACCCATTTATCTATTATTTTCTTCAGCCCTAGGAGACCCTGTGTTCATATAATATAGTAAAGCAATACATGAGTAACAAAGTGCTATTGCTACTAAAAATTCACAGAATAGCAACAATGAAGTTGAAGGGATTGAATGAATCACAGATGTTGTTCCCCATAATATCTCCTACTGATTTCTGAAGACTGAAATATATGAAGTGCATTAGTCATTCAACACCACTGGCATGGATCCAAACTACCACTTATAAACACTGGTGTCACTATGTAATTTTTTTCACTAAATTAAAATAATCTGGAAATATTTGTGTATTACGATTAAATAAAACTCTCTGAAGGAACCTGAATATGACTGTAAATCATACCATCGATTAAGAATAAGGCACAATAAAAAACAGGAAAAATTATTTTATAAATGCTCTACCCTTGATTATTTTATAATAGTGAATGAAATGTTTTACAGTAAATTCAGCATCAAGGCTAATCAATACAAGTAACAAATTACTTACACTATTATTAACAACAGAAATATCAAACATAAAAGCCAATCAAAATAAGTCACTTACTTTTGGTACAACTGGTCCTCTGTTACTGTTTCTGCTTCGATGACTGGACAATGGGAAGACCTGCCCAAGCTGATTTGGACGCTCAGTGCACTCTGTGGTTATAGTATTTACGGTATTTGCAGCCTGAAAGGTGTTGGAGTAAGGTGTAGGAAAAGGATGATAGAATCCCATAACTTGGGCACATGGTGCTGGCATCAGCTGATAATATGTATACTCTGTAGAAACAGGTGGCTGAGCAGATATAATGGGGTAGGCAAGGTATGGTCCAGCAGGGTTTGGACTGGGCTGTTGCCATCGTATATCATTGTTATATAACGGAAATTGTCTGTTAAAATCAAATAAAAAAAGAACAAATCTATTGACAAGTCTGAAAGTAATGCTGAAGCAAAACCTCTTAATTCATTTTAATTTAAAAAAGTACAGAACCGTGCCTTCATAATAAAAAGGAGATAAAATTATCACCTTATAAATTTCTTTGCTGTAATCAGAGATTATTATATACATGTAATAACAACTTAAATGACAGTATAAAGGAATTCAACCTGATAGTTCTACTGCATTCCAAAATTTTAAAAGTACATACCATTCTTATTTACAACTCTCTCCTCAACCTCCTCAGGGTATTTCTGCCTAGAAGTTAAACACCTAGCTGCTGGATCTGCACACAAAGGCAGTCCAAAGTTCCCATCCAATGCTAACAACTGTGACGGCCTTCTGCAAAAAGCAGGGTAAGGTGAGCCCTGTGTAAGGTGATCATTACAATGGGTGATTTGATTCCTCCACCTCTCCTTCAGCTCAGTCCCAGGGCCTCCTACTCCTCTCCCATACTCCCCGAACCATTTGGCCAAGTCAAGCTCTTTTCCTGGCTCCCCTCCTTGGCAATGGAAGCAGGTTCCTGGTCCAAGGGAAAGAAGAGAAAGAGGTAAGCCTGTCCATTGCCATCCTATCTAACATGGCATTAGAGCCTTTTCTAGTGCATTTCCTATAAAGCATCAGCAAGATTCTTCCTGTCTCAGCAGTCCTTACAGAAGGCTGCTGCAGAAGAATGAGTGGCCATGGGGAGCCGGAGCATCGAGCTTTCCTCACTACTCCCATAACAAAGCACAATGGAAAAATGTTCACTGCCATAATTAAAAAAAAAAATACTTTTAATCCGCAGGCTGGTTTACTCGTGAATTCTCAAAGATTATTTAGTATGGTAAGAAAAATTGACTGTACTTTACACTTGGCCATTTTGTCAAATACAAAAAAATAGTATTAAATTTGGTTTTTAAGTCGCTTCAAATGTAGCCCTATACAGGTCAAAATTGTTTGACATATGCTAACCTCAACTGAGAAGGATCCCTTATACTTTGTCCAATCCCCAAAACTATAGAGTTTGAGAGATTATTAACCTGAATATTTAATATTTCATACAGTAGCTTAGTGGCCTCATCTCTCTTACACCAAGAATATCTGAAAGAATGTGCCTTGGCACATTAGTGTGCCACATGATGGCTTATAGGTGTGCAGAAATATTGATTGCCTTTGCCCTCGGGGTGGTTGAGCAGAGGCTAGAGTCCAGCTACCTCATCCATTTGTCCCAGAGTGCTAGAGAAATGTAATTTTCTATGTGTGATATTACTTGTAAAAGGCTGAAAGTACTTTTAATAAAGCAGTAACGTGAACTACACCAACAAAGTACTAATCACTCAGATAGTCTAAGCAAGGTTAAAAAAGCTATCATGATTATCACAAGTTACACCCTAACCACCAGGTCACACATTACCTGAACTGCAAGCTGATTTTGCTAAATCACCCTGTGACTACAGCACAGAAGCTAAATTTAAACTAGAATCAGAGTCCAGAAATATATGTTAACCATAAACACTTCAATGTTAAGAACTATCCCTTGGTATTTTCTTCTTATGCCCGACTGTCCTGGAAGTTAAAAGGGTTTCCGTTCACCACTTTCTGAATATTCATTCCTCCCTTGTATCAATTTATTTCAAAGTAAGTTTAATGACTTATTGTAGGAGATACATCCAAAAAACTCCATTTCCTCTTAGAAAGAATGAGAAAATAACCCACGTTAACAATTTTCAAATTTCTACCTCATTTGGTTTTATTTATTTCTCTTAAAAAAGGGAAATGGCTAATGTTTAAAAGTTACAAATGGAGGGGCGCCTGGCTGGCTCAGTTGGTGGAGCATGGGACTCTTAATCTCAAGCTTGTAAATTGAAACCCCATGTTGGCTGTAGAAATTACAAAAAAATAATAATACATAAACCTAAAAAAAGGAAAAGTTACAAAAGGAAAAAATGAAGAAGTATGCCTTGCCAATTTCTGTATTTTCCGACTCATCCCCCACAAAAGAGAAAATAATAATAAACAAATTACCTATTGGACTGGTTTTCCTGCACAAATGGATAACAAGTAATCAGGTAGCTGGGAATTGGAGTTGGTTCTACACCAGAAACATTTCCATTATCATTTGGGAGTGCCATCGGGATCATAAATGTATCAGGATTCTTCTTCTGGGGAATAAATGGCTCTACCTCAGCTGAGAGCTTGACATTCTTAAAAGAGATAGTAAAACACACTATTAATAAAGGAGCAAAAAACTTAATACAAATTCACAATTTAACAATGGAAGAGTCGGTGTTTACAAATAGTAATTAGATCTCCTCAGTATGAGAAAACATCCAAAGGAGCAGTAATGTCAAATTAAAATAACTAAATATGATTATTTAGGCAAAGCCATCAAATAAAACAGGGAAACGCTTATCAGAAGTTATTGCATTTTAATGAAATCATTTCTTACGTAACCAAAGCTGTTAAAACAATCAAGAGTACAAGGAAGTCAGACTTGAGACCAAAAATAAAGCTGGTAGTAAGAAATCTAGCTCTTCAGACAAAGCAATGCTTTTAGCTAATTTTGTTAGGAGGGAAAATCATTAAACAGAGTTCTGAAGGATACTCACTTTATATTTGTTTGACTAGTCTAAAAAATAGTCTATTTCTATCCATTTCAGGAAATTAGATTAGTATGGTTTAGTTAAAAGGAAGGAAAATGTCCAAGATTAATGGAAAAAAAAAAAAAAACTTAACATAAGGGCAAGAAATTTTGGCTCACAGTTAAACTAGGAGAAAAAAAGGAGTACTTCAGTTTCCCAGTAGACAACTTGAGTAAACTAAAGTAATCCAGAGTATGTACTCTCATTTTAGTTTATTTTGTATTTTTTCTTACAAAAATATCTACAGAAATTTAAAAGATATATTTAAAAAACTAAAGTATTTTAGGGTGCACATGTGGGTGACAAAACTATAAAGAAAAGTAAATAAGATCTGGGATAAAAGTCAGGACAGGAATTACTCATATGAAATTACTCATGTGAAAGAGAGTTGTGATCACGAGGAGGTACCCGGAGAGCTTCTGAGTGCCTGACAACGTTCTATATCCTAACTTGGGCGATAATTACAAGGCATTCACCTCATAATTCATTTAGCTATACATTGCTTTTATGCAGTTTTCCTTCTGTATTTAACAACAATTTCTTAAATTTAATTATAAAAAGAAAAAACCTATAGACACATTCTTCAAAGGTAGAATGTTAAAAACCACATAAATATCACAATCTAAAAAGATACTAAACACTTCTTTAAGAAACCAGTAAGTGAAGTGCAATCCAATGTTTCAATCATTCAAATCAATTACCTCAAAGCAATAGTCCTAACTAGAACTTCTGCCCAACAAACCCAGTAGGATGGCATTTATCGGAAGCTCTGAGCAAGGCAGAGTTCCCAGAATAAATGTCAGGCATGTTTCTCACAAAGGTAATCAGTAACAAATGCAAGAAAATCTGAAGACAAAATCTATAAAGACTTGATATGCTCAATAGGATAGCCTTTATTCAGATAAATTATTCTCTAAAAAGAGTCCACTGGAAATACTCAGAATGCTTGTAAAAAAGTGGGAAGAGAGAAGAAATCTGAACTATTTATAGTGGTATTAATTCAATATCCTTCCTACCTGATTAAACTTTGAAATCTACTTTTATACTATTAACCGAATATGAAATAGAGACAGTACTTGCACTTATGAATACAGTATCTGTGAACTCAAGCTGGTTTCTTGAATTTGAACCCTGAAGGCAAAACCTCCTTCAAATGCTAATAGTCTAAGTTAGTAATTTTCACTGCAATAGTCAACAGAACTCAAAAATTATTTGTGTAAGATATAAATTATCAATCTAATAAATGTTCCCTCAGGAGGAAATGAGGGGAAAAGGCTGATTTTCAACAATAATGCACAGATAATGGAAACTTGCTTGATATAGTTCATGCATAGGCATAAAAAGAGGAAAAATTTAAATCACATTTTAACTACACTGAAAATGTAATTTTTAGGATATCTTTGAAAAATCTAAAAAGTCCTTCTGAACATATGAGAACTCTCTGAACAGTTTTATAGATCTGTATTAGAAGGCATTAGCAAGAAACATGATTATATCAAATTTCCATATGAAAAGGAAATAATGCTAATATAATTATAAAGAAATAAGATAATTTAAAGATAGTAAGTTTCCTAATACCTCCCCACCAAATAGTACCAACTCATAAATTACGATAGTAAGTTTCCTAATACCTCCCCACCAAATAGTACCAACTCATAAATTACCTTGGTAAAAAATTCAGATTCTTGCTCAAGTCAAAAGTTGCAACAAGTTTTTATACTTAGTTTCATTTTACTTTGTAAGAGTTTTATGAACTTAGGCAGCCCACGGTCAAAAAAGTGTCATACATAATTTAAATAATTTTGCCTTCGGGGTCGTTGAGCAGAGGCTAGAGTCATGTAGCCTCTAGCTACATGAATATAAATATAAATATTTATAATAATATAAATTATAAATCATAATTTATAATTGATATCTGTACATATACACAGTATATGCCCTTAAATATAAAAGTTTGTAATGATTTCTATTCTAAGTGCAATTCTAGATATCAGAGTTCAACAATAAAACTCACAAACACTGAAGTGATCCTTTGTTTTTAGCAAAAAAGAGAAGCTGCTGTAGTCAACAGCTGCACAAACAGAAGATGTCACTAGTAGGAACAGACTGGCAAACTTTCTCCTACAGTTACAACTCTCTATGGTCTTAAAAGTTGTTTGTTGTGACTTTGGGGCCTTCAGTATCATACATTAAAATGAAGCATCTGCTATTCTCAGGCCTAAAAAGTAAAGATAAATCCCAAACTATTTTTAAAATTCCACATAATAAAGCCCATATAGACAATATGTTAAGTAACAAATTCTGGCAATATTTCAATTATATTAGTATAGAAATCAAAGAAAAATGTCCTACATAGTGGACAACAAAACGTAATAAAAAAAATTACACTACTTACTTCATACAATGATATTCCTTAGTTTGAATTTTTTAGTCTACTTTTGACAATATCTATTTTTTTGGAATCAGAAATTTTATATAAAATAAGTCTAAACTACACAAAGTCTAACTATTCCTGTACTACTATTTGCTTAAAAAAAACTATCTACATAGTAAAATTATCTTTATCTTTCAGAAATTATTTCAGCATTTTCCAAATAATGAAAAATCATAATAATCCCAGAAACCTGTACTGGGGGGGGGGGGAACATAACCAGTTTCACATTCTTTTAAATTTAGCATATATTAAAACAAATGTCAATAATAAAACTTCTTTGATGTGAATAATCTAGAAAACCCAAGAATTTATCAGAACATGAAAATATAAAAGCCTTCTTTAAAAGAGCGTATTAAACAAATGCACTCAGATCACTGAGAGCCTATATAAATTCAACAAATATGCACTGAGTACATGTTCTGGAAAGAGTGCTGTACTAAACTGGTTCAGGGAAAATGGGCAAACATTACTACGAAGCACCCAACAGCAGGAAATGCACACTAACTCCTCTGGGATAGAATCTCTAGAAGAGTGCAAATAATTTTCCCAGATTAAGCAATAGAAAAACACCCACTTAAAATCAAAACTGAAGTAGAACATAATAAGGCACTCTCCCACAGTGAAATTTCAGTATGTACCACACACCTACAGAAAAAATATGACCATGGAAACCCTCTACATCCTTTGTATATTAAGGTAATAATACAATATATCAAACATTAAGATATTTTACATCTCATGGCCAAAGAAAAATAAATGTCTTCCAAAGGAAAAAATGACTAATGCTTAAAAGATACTTGCTGGCTGTATTGTTTTTGATTGGAATGACTTATACTGAAAGTAAACACTTGACAAATCAATTGCAGTAGTTATATATGTAAGTTTTGCAAGACTTCAGAAAATACTGAGGAAAAAAATCAAAATAATTAACTGAGACTGCCCACTTGATTTACTATTCAAATCTCTTCCTTTTTTCTTAAAATAGATTACACCTAATCCTATTAAAACCTGATGGTACTTTTCTAAAACTTAATACTGGTTTTTGGATTATCTAATTTATTAATTTTGGGTTTTCTATTTCTTTTCCTCTCTTGCTTTGATAGGGTTTTCCTGCTAACTTCTAGCCCTGGACACTTGATTTTTATTTACCTTTTAAAATGTTTAATAATGAAAGTATTTATGACTATGCATTTGCCTCAGAGTATAGCTTCAGCCACATCCCATAGGTTTTCATATGTATTACTTTTTCAATAACCCATAATTCCACTTTTTTATTTCCTCTTGATCAAGGGCTTAGGAAAAATGTCTTTTTAAATTTCCAAAGGTCGGGGTGGCTGGGTGGCTCAGTTGCTTGAGCATCCAACTCTTGGTTTTGGCTCAGGTCATGGTCTTGGGGTCCTGGGATCCAGCACCACATTGGGCTCCCCGCTCAGCAGGGAGTCTGCTTCCCCTCTCTCTCCCTCTGCCCCACCCCCCACACTCTCGCCACCAAATGATCTAAAAAAAAAAAAAAAAGGTTAAATTTCCAAAGGTTATTTTACTTTCTTTTTTATTACAAAAGTATTATTTTTAAAACCTGTTAAGATAAACCATTTACTTATATTCATTAAGGCCAACTACAAGTATTATTGAATAATAAATGTTTTATAGTAACTTATTTAGAATATATTTAGCTTGCGATACTATTTGAAGTTTATCAATTATTTAAAGGAAAGAATTATAAGCCAGATGATTTTGTATCTTTATCGGTGAACAGCACTTTGCATGAAGTCATATGTATTTGTTTCATGTTTGCTTTTCTAAGAGTTAAAGACACTGGTGATCAATAGTTTTGTAAATTGTTTTATTTTATTTTTTAATTTATTTTATTTTTTTTTACATTTTTTATTTTTTTTATTTTTATTATTTTTTTTTTCAAAGATTTTATTTATTTGAGAGAGAGAATGAGAGACAGAGAGCAGGAGAGGGAAGGAGGTCAGAGGGAGAAGCAGACCCCCTGCTGAGCATGGAACCTGATGCGGGACTCGATCCAGGGACTCCAGGATCATGACCTGAGCTAAAGGCAGTCGCTTAACCAACTGAGCCACCCAGGCGCCCCTACATTTTTTATTTTTATAAATATTTTTTATTTAAATTCAATTAGCATATAATATTATTGGTTTCAGAGGAACAGGCCTGTGATTCATCAGTCTTATTAGATCACATGCCCCTCCTTAATGTCCACCACCCAGTTACCCCATTCCTCCACTCCCCTCCCCTCCAGCAAACCTCAGTTTGTTTCCTATGATTAAGAGTCTTTTACGGTTTGTCTCCCTCTCTGGTTTCGTCTTGTTTTATTTTTTCCTCTCTTCCCCTATGATCTTCTGTTTTGTTTCTTAAATTCCATGTATCAGTGAGATCGTATGATAATTATCTTTCTCTGATTGACTTATTTCGCTTAGCATAATAACCCTCTAGTTCCATCCACATCATTGCAAATGGCAAGATTTGATTTTTTAAAATTTTTATTTATTTAATTTATTTATTTGACAGAGAGAGAGAGCGAGAGCACAAGAAGGGGGAGCAGGCAGAGGGACAGGGAGAAGCAGGCTCCCTGCAGAGCAGGGAGCCCGATGCAGGGCTCGATCCCAGGACCCCAGGATCATGACCTCATGACCTGAGTCAAAGGCAGCTGCTTAACCGACTGAGCCACCCAGGTGCTCCAAGATTTCATTTTTTGCTGCGTAATATATATATCACACTTCTTCTTTATCCATTCATCTGTCAGTGGACATCTAGGCTCTTTCCATAGTTTGGCTATTGTGGACATTGCTGCTATAAACACTGGGGTGCAAGTGCCTCTTCAGATCACTAGTTATATCTTTGGGCTAAATACCCAGTAGTGCAATTGCTGGGTCATAGGGTAGCTCTACTTTCAACTTTTTGAGGAACCTCCATACTGTTTTCCAGAGAGGCTGCACCAGCTTGCATTCCCACCAACACTGTAGTAGGGTTCCCCTTTCTCCACATCCTCACCAATATCTGTTGTTTCCTGACTTGTTAATTTTAGCGATTCTGACTGGTGTGAGGTGGTATCACATTGTGGTTTTGATTTGTATTTCCCTGATGCCAAGTAAAGAACTTATCTAGGGACGCCTGGGTGGCTCAGTCGGTTAAGCGTCTGCCTTCGGCTCAGGCCATGATCCCAGGGTCCTGGGATTGAGTACCGCATCCCACTTCTTGCTCAGCAGGGAGCCTGCTTCTCCCTCTGCCTGCTGCGCCCCCTGCCTGTGCTCTCTCTCTCTCTCCCTCTCTCTCTCTCTCTGACAAATAAAATCTTTAAATGAACTTATCTAATGCTAACGTTCTAAAAATTAAGCCAATGTTTAAATTAGTTGATAATACAAAAGATACTGTAAACTTCAAGTGTTTTGTCACTTCTAAGGCTATTGTTCATTTTTTAAAAATGTCTCAAAACACTGCCTTAAATTTCCTAAAAATAGAAACATTAAGCCTTTATGAACAAATAAACTCCATGACTTATTTTTCACATCCCTTTACACCAACTTTCTCCCCCTCAAGGACCAAAAAAAAGGCATTATACCAAGTAATAACTGTTCTTAGAACCTCTAACTCTGGCAATTAAAATTAAATTACTTGTTTTGACTTAATACAGTCTTGCTAAAAGAGAATACCCCTGAGATCCTCTTTTGGTTATAACATTCTTTCAAATAGTCACTACTGCAATTAAGACTATTATCTAGCATGTATTCCAGTAACTTACTTTTTATAATCTTGATCAACATATATACAATTTACCCTTTTATCAAAGATTTTATTTTTTAAAAGAGCAATATGAATACCTTCAGGCAAAACATGCTTAGATTTTTTTTTAAGTTACACTTGTGCAATACTCCAAGGATTTCAATTAGGTTAACATGAAATGCACAGTTTGTATGAAGTACTGTTTTCTTAAAAAATCAAATTTCGGGCACCTGGGTGGCTCAGTTGGTTAAGCGACTGCCTTCGGCTCAGGTCATGGTCCCGGAGTCCTGGGATCGAGTCCCACATCGGGCTCTCGGCTCAGCAGGGAGCCTGCTTCTCCCTCTGACCCTCTCCCCTCTCGTGCTGTTTCTCTCTCTCTCTCTCTCAAATAAATAAATAAATAAAATCTTAAAAAAAAAAAAGTTTAAAAAAAATCAAATTTCTATAAATTGCTAATCACTACAATATTATGAGTAAGTTTTAATGCTGTAGGCATTCCCCAAAATTCTGAATATAAGACAACACTGACTTAAAATGAAAAAACAAACATTTTGTGAGGGAAAATGGAAATCCACATATCACATATATTTTTAGTGACTTTTACCTATCTAAATTCACTTCATTAGTAAATATATAAAAGTGTATTCCAAATAACCTGGAAAAGCCATTACATTACTCTATGGTATAGTGGAAACAATGAAGAACTTCACAAAGTGGAGAAAGCTCAGTTCTGGCCCCTAATCTACCATTAAATTAATGGTTCTTAGCCTTTTTTCAGTGATAGATTCCTTTGAGAATATGATGAAAATAATGGAGTCTTGCCCCAGAAAAATGCTAATATAAAATGAAGCACACTCCTTCCAGGTCATCCATGGACCCCTGAATTAACTGCCTTCAGCCTGAACAAGGCAAAGCAGCATCACTTTTCTGCATCTCGGTTTCCTGTGAGTATGTAGCAGGTGGGAAGAGAGGGTGGTCAGAATTATTCTCTTACTTAAGGTTAGGCTGAGGAAGAGGCAGGAGGTACCAGAATGAAAAAAGGAACAAATTCTTCAACGGAAAACCTACATTCATGATTTCTTTCCAATCCTTACATTTCTACAAGGTTTTAATAGGTTGTGGACTTCGGAAAGATGTAGGATGAAAGAGGAATAGGTTCTCTAGTTTAAATAATCTGCTCACAGCACTTGCTGTTAAGATAACCACACACAAATAGCTATGCTAAATAGTTAATTATATTTCCTCTAAGATGAAAGGAACCATAAGTATACATGTAGTAGCATTACTGGTTATAGTTTTGGCATCATAAAGGACCTGAGTTTAACCTTTTTATTAGTGACACACATACAAGAAAATTGTTCAAGAAAATTTCCTATTCAATTGTCAGACTTTGAAATTAAAGGCATTTCTGATAAATGCCTTAAAATTTTTTTTTTCATTAAATTGGATATAGGCTGTATATAGAATACTCTGGGTCACTAGAAAGCCAAGAGGCTCTGATCAATTTTGCTTTGGTAAACCCACGTATTATCTCATAAAACTCATTTGTGTTTTCAAATTCATATTCTCATAATTTTTTTAATTAAAGCTTTTGTAAAAAAATAAATATACACAACTAGGAATCTGCCTGCTAAAAGAGCCAGATTTCAAAATCAAAATTGCCTCTGACTAGCTACATATATACAGGAATTTTGAAATCTTGTCTCATTTCCTCAGATACTAATTATCTATTTGTAAAATAGGCAAATCACTAGTCTTTTTTTTTTTTTTAAGATTTTTATTTATTTATTTGACAGAGAGAGAGATAGAGCAGGAACACAAGCAGGGGGAGTGGGAGAGGGAGAAGCAGGCTTCCTGCCGAGCAGGGAGCCCGATGTGGGACTCGATCCCAGGACCCCGGGATCATGACCTGAGCCGAAGGCAGACGCTTAACGACTGAGCCACCCAGGCGCCCAAATCACTAGTCTTCTTCTCCTTCATCTATTTGCCTGGCTCAACACTGGGCAAAGCGTTCAACTGAAGAGAATGCATAGTGAATGAACTTCGATTTCATCAAATTTTAAGTCGTTTCATAGAGGGCTCAAGGATGGAAAATACTAACACTTTGCCGGGGAGGGGAGGGGCAATTATTTTGGATTATTATTTACATTTTCATCATCCCTGCCTCCCAGTAACTACTCGCGTGGATAATCAAGAATTTAATACAATTAAAACCAAAATAGAACACTAATGGAACTACTCTGAATGTGAAAACAGTCTCGGAAATGCGTTCATACTTCGGATCCACATTCTTAAAATATAAGCTCAATTTTTCAAAAACACTAATTTTTGCAAAATAACTGGACAGAAAGGCAGGGGAAACCCATAGTATGAAATACTTAGAGGAAACACCTCCCTAAAACCACTGCAAAAAACAATGCTCTGCTCAACGGAACGTTGATCCAAAAAAGCCCATAACCCCCCTGCTCTGTAGTTATCACACATTCTCTGACAGTCTTTCTGGGTGAGAAGCCTTCGAAAGCCTTGCCACCTTGAAAACACATTCCAGAACTAAAGGGGGGGGGGGAGGTTACTCGCTGGAAGTTATAAACCCTCCTCTCAGGCAAGCACTGACAACTTGGGAGTCCTCTGGCCCCTAACACCAAACCGCAGAGGAGGAGCAAAAACGAGTCCCCAGCCCGGGGGAGGGGGGTAACCAGGGCTGGAAAAGCCCCCGTCCCCCGAGGCAGCAACTGGAACAATGCAGGAGTGGGGCGCCGCCAGGCTCTCAGGCGAGGGGAGTCGGCTCCCGCAGGAACCCAAGGGCTCCGGCGGTCCAGGCCCCCACTCAGAGACCAGGGCCCGCTCCGGAGGAAGCGGCGACCCCCAGCACCCGGCCCAGCCGGCCCAGCCGAGCCCGCGTACCTGGTCAGTGGGGGCTCGGTCCATGGCGCCTGCAGCCGCGACGGGCCTGCGTTAGTCGGTGTGGAAAGCGCCTCGGGCCGCTTTCTCCATGGCCCCCCGCTCGAGTCGAGACAGGGCTCAGGACCTCCGCCCCTATCTGGCTGGCCCCGACACAGAGTCCGGCTACGCCACTGGCCGAGGGGGTGGCTCCAGCCCTGGGAGGAGGAGGCGGCGGTGGCAGCCTCGGGGAGGGATCATCTGGGACGGAAGCCGAGGAGGGCCCAAATAGGCGGCAGGCGTAGTGGAAAATGGCGGCTCGCGGAAGGGAAAGGGGGAGGGGCCGAGAAGGGGCGTGGGCGGAGTGACCGCAGAAGTCCTGGGCAGGTGGTGGCGGGAGCCTCGGCTGGCTGACCGGGAGGCTGAGGCCAAGTGGAGACTCCTGTAAGCAGGTGCCCCAAGCCGCTCTGCGCTTTGAGCCGGACTTCACTGTCCCTTTGGACCGTTAAACTGAGGAGTGTCGGGCCTCTTGGGACGCAGAACACCCGGGTTCCAGTCTTCAGGGACCTCAGAGACTACTTCATTATTCCAAATCATCCCTTAGTAATGTTGGAAGAGCTTTTAGCTGCCCGCTGTACATAGCGATCCTTCCTCATGTTATCTAGCTAAAGGAAGTCATGTCTATAAAGGAAAATACCACACAAGGGCCACTGGAGAGAAACTGAGTCAGGAGGTTCCACAAAGGCTTATGGATTAGGTAATTCATTGTCCAGGCCCAGGCTCACCTCCACCCTCACCTCCAGGCTGATCTCGCCTGTCTCAGAATCCCTAATTTTACTCAGTCTGTATCACACCAACCAACAGGTAACTACGTACTCTGCTATGTTGCTTTCCTCCCTGTGCTTATTGATTGTTCCTTTTATTATATTACATATATTATATATATTATCCAGTTCATTAGCTCCCCTAGGAAAGAGACTGGGCACTTGGTAAGCATGGCTGATTCCCTCTGGGCATCTCCTCAGACAAACCTTCCAACAGGTACCTCTTCTCAGAATAGTTCTTGCTTGCTGGTCAGCTCCAGGGTGAGGAAGAAAAATAAAAAGCTATATAAGCTAAATTATACTTAAGTGAAGGAAGGGAATGGAGGTGGCTCCTGTTTGAGGGACTGGAATGGAGATTTAGAGCTGGGAAAGAGAATTTTAAGAAGTTTGCTTTGTCATGCTTCAGAAGACATCAGTAAAGACTTGAATTGCCTTTTAGTCTAGGTTGTTATTCTGGTTTTGTTTGAATTGGATTCTAAGAAGAGGCCGGTCTGTGAAACCTCTAACTGTACTTACATTGATACTGTACTTTGACCTGGTAAAAGGAGCTATATTGGGTTAACAAGACTTACATCAAAGCTGGCAGTAGAAACTGTTTATAAGGAGAAACATTTATGTTTGTACACAGAGATCTTTCATTTATTTAGCTTTAACTAAATAAAATATTTTTATTCTCAAATTTTATGTGTTTATGTGCATATGTGTGTGCATGTGTATGCATGTGTTTGTTTAAATTGTACATGTATGCCTGAATGTTACATACATGAAGAATTCATGCAATGTAGCCCCTATCAATGAATGCAGAATAAATTTAGGTTTGCATAGAAAAGCTAAGCTATTTATATGAAGTAGTTATGTAAACTAACAGATGATCATCCTCCTTCACAATTGAAAGATAAAAAGAATTCTGAATTTTCAGAATGTCTCCCCACTGGTGGTCTCTAACCATAAGACACCCGGATCTAAGTAAAAAGATAATAATAATGCAGTACTAATGTAGTCATAAAAATATCACGGTTCTTGGTCTCTTTCCTGCTTCTAAGGAGTAATCTGAGAAAATTGAAATAGAGGCTCTCTAAGGATCTTTCCAAATTACAGGATTTTTATGACTATGAAATCGTTCTCATTGAGAATCTTCATTGTAGAAGATACTCACTTAAATTTTAAGATCAGAATTATAAGAAATTATATGAACAGCAATGTCACAATGCCATTCTTATTTAACACAATCCTAGAAAAGATTACATAGAAATTAGAGTAAAAAATTAAAATATATGAAGAAAAAAAGACATTTGAAAATACTACTTTGTATGGATGAGATGATTGAATTTTAATTAATCATTTCATTGAGCAACAAATATTTAATGTGCCAGGTGCTATGCTAAGTACTGGAGGTACAGCAGTTAGCACAACACTGTGAAAGCAGAAACCATGTTTGTCTTGTGGGCAAGACATACATAGAACAAGTAATTACAGGTAAGCTGCATGTCATGAAAAAGGAAGTTTAATAGGTTCCGCCATAGTGTGGGATGGAAGGTCAGGGAAGTCATATGTAAGTAAATGGCATCTAAGCAAAGACTGAAGGGTGAGTAGGAGTTAAGGAAAAGAGGTAAGAAAGTGGTCCCAAGAAAATGGCTAATGTGAGGACCCTGGGGTAAAAGTATCCAGCATCAGTACTTAAACAAGCTCATTCCTTGAGAGTTGAGGATGAGAGGGATAATCCAATAGAGCAAGGCCTCTGACAAAGTAAAACCAGGAGAAGAAATTGGCCGTAGATGGGAGCAGGTACGTGTTGTCCATGATAACAGAAGGAAAGGGAAAAAGGGTAGATATGACTGCAGATACATTTATAAGTTGAAGGAATTCCTGTCTATGGCTTCTATTTTCTTGGGGAGGTAGGGGGCCAAGATTATCTGCTGACCATGGAGGGAGGCAGAGTTGTGATGATCATGCACTTGTCAAAACTCAGCAAACATAATTTAAGAGCTACGCATGTCATATAAATTTTACATCAAAAAGAAAAAACTAGAAATATTGAACTCTAGTTTTAAGAAATTCATGTTCTTCCATAACCCAAATCTCTATCAAGATATGGAATGTTACCATGAACCTCAGTGGTTTTTAAAGCTTCTCTACTTATATCAGATGTTTGTCTTATTCACTGCTGCATCTTACTACCTATACCAATGCCTGCCACATAGCAGGTGCTCACTAGATATTTGTTGAATAAATGAACATGTGCTATGATGTTAAATCAGGATTTTTTAATTCAGGGGTGGGTTTTGTTAGGCATATACATTTCACTGAATGAGCAGGATTCAGTGGGGTAGGAGAACAAAATTCTTTCATTTTTGCTCCACTAAGTCGCCAAATTCTCTGAGGGCTGCTCTTTATTCTGCCCTGGATGATATCTCATGAAGGTCACACAAACTTCATTCCAAGTTAAAGCTTTGCCTTTTCCCAAGCCCAGTCCTGCTTCAGAACTGCAGTGGGTTATTTGGTATGGGCCACCTTTATTTTGTTTTCTACCTTTTGCATCTCCACTTCCTCCACCTTAACTACTCGCTGATTAAGCTTTCCAATTCCTCCAGGTTTATATTGTGCAAGGGAGGGTAGCAGAGCTTCTCGGATGTCTCAGATATATGACATGCACAAAGGCACTTCCGGGCAACCACTTACAACCCTAGCCTTAGCTCTTGGGACTTTTTGGGGTTTAGCCCTCTTCTTGATCCCTGGGGTGCTCAGCAAAGTACTCTTCTTAGCTGGACTCCCTTTTAAACTGGCTTCAAGTATAATTCTCTCCCACCATCCCTGGGGACATTTTTGCTATACTCTTTTATCACTTAATCTCCCTACACATCCATCCCTCCATAAACTCATTAATTCATCTTATTTTTCGTGTGTAACAAAGTAAATTGCTTACATCAGTATACTTTCCCCTGGGAAAACTCATGTTTCCACAGTTGGTGAAAGTGTGGCTTGTTTCCAGTGTTCTCTCTCTCTCTCTCTCTCTCTCTCTAGTCAGCCTCTGGTTTTCTTAGGAAAGTATCAGATCCCAGGTCCCTGTATTCCCCCAGACTCCAGGCAACATGTATCAAGTTCTCCAAGTGTTTCCCCGAAAGCTCCTCTCACATAGCTTGAGATTAGGGGGAGCATCTCTTTTTTCCCTGTGGGCGGAGTGGGGAAGTGTCAAGTGTCTCCAAAGCAACACTCTTCCTGAGTCATCAGCCCCCTACCCCACCTCCATGCTCTCGGGGCTGGGCACGAGTGATGAATAATGCTAAGCCACAATTTCTTAGCATATTTTGCATGGTAGTCTAACACCTGACTTTAGGATGTAGGGGTACTTGGCACCTAACCCATTGTCCTTTGAGCACCTGTCAAAACAGCACCCTTATTGAATGTCATGTTACATGTTCATTGATTTAACAAATATTTTTTGAGCACCTGTTCTATGCAAGGCACTGGTCTAGGTAGTGAGAATGCAACAATGAACAAAGTCACTGCTCTTGTGGAATTTATAATTTAGTCTGGGTGATAGACAATAAGCATATAAAAAAGATAATTTCATGTAGAGATGAATGCTGTGAAGGAAGTAAAACATGCTAATGTGATTATTGCAGACTACTTTCATAGGTTGACCTCTAAGATGTGGATATCTTACCTGAGACTTGATGAGTACTAAAAGGAAATACCAAGGAAAACAAGGCCCTGGAGGGAAAAATCTTGTCATCAGAGTAACAGAATGGAGAAGACAGGTGTGAGTAGAGAATGATGGAAGGGGAAGAATGGTATGAACAATGGACTGAACATGAGAGTAGAACCAAACCAGATCATGTAGGAATTTATAGGCTAAGGTAATTTTAATTTCAAAAGCAATTTGGAGGATTTTGAAGAGGTGCACGCAAATTCACATTTTGGCTAAATGCTGAAGAGTCAAATGTCAAAATTAATACTTTCTTTCTGGGATATAAAGACAAATTTGAATGTTTATTTAAGAATTGAGGGACAGGGGGGTGCCTGGGTGGCTCAGTCTGTTAAGTGGCTGCCTTCGGCTCAGGTCACGATCTCAGTGTCCTGGGATGGAGCCCCACATGGGAATCCCGGCTCAGCAGGGAGCCTCCTTCTCCCTCTCCCGCTCCCCCCTGTCTGTGCACTCTCTTTCTCTCTGTCAAATAAATAAATAAAATAAAATAAAATAAAAGAATTGAGGGATGGCTGGGTGGCTCAGTTGGTTAAATGTCTGCCTTCGGCTCAGGTCATGGTCCCAGGGTCCTGGGATCGAGTCCCCCATCGGGCTCCCTGCGCAGTGGGGAGACTGCTTCTCCCTCTGCCTGCAGCTCCTCCTGCTTGTGCTTTCACTCTCTCTTTCTCTCTCTCTCTCTCTGACAAATAAAGAAAGAAAA